ATTCCAGAGATCTTTATATTTAAAATATCAAAACTCCATATAAAATTATTTTCATACCTTTAATAAATTTTCTGACAGTTTCATGAGGATTTTTGACAAATTTTGCAAGGATGTTTTGACTTTTTATAATTTTAAATATAATTATAATTTTAATTATCAAACCCCCATTTTGATTCAACAAATTGATATGGAAAAATTGTAGTAATAATAATAATAATAATAAACCCAATAATTTTTCATTTTAAACTTCAGTACAATTGATTTAATGACTTTAATTCTAAATTAATTTAAAATTTTAATTATATAGTAATTGAAATTCAAATTCAATTACATCTTTGTATATTATAAAAATTATTAAAATTTTTAATCAATTCAAAATAAATATCAAATAAATTTTTTAAAATCTCTTTAAAAATTCAAATAAATACTCAATAAATTACTTATACTTAGAAGGCCCATGCTCGTGTTTGGTTTGGGCTTAGCTTTTTAAGCCTTCTGCCATATATCGGGCCACTATCCCAACTCTAAAAGCATCTTAAACATAAGAATACGCAAGTTTCTCTCAGCCGCACATTGGAAGTTACTCATTAGAATGGTTAGGTTTTTTTGAGTCATACAGAGAAAGAAGATATATCTACCTGTGTATGTTTTTAAACTGTTCCATCTTCAAGGATAGTTAAAGAATTCTCAATAGATATTAAGGGTGTTTTTTTTTTTTTATTAACATTTTAGTATTTAAAAATTACATTAAATCATAATCCATTTAAAATTGAACTGCATTAAATCTCATAAGAAAAAAACTCTCCTAATACTTACTTTTTTATTTAAGAAACTTGAACTCAAAATTTTATTTTAAAAAAAATTAAGTTTTTTCTAATTAGTTCGTTAGTAGATATTAAGGCTGTCTCATATATAAAAGGACAAGAATTTTTTTATTTTTTTTATTTTTTATTTTTATATTTACTTAAACGCATAGGAAGGAAATATCGAATTGGCTGGGTTAGTAATTGTGAAACGAGGTTTTTAAACTGCATTACACACAATTTATTTGTAGTATAATTTTAAATAATTATTAAACGTAATGATATTGATTCATAAATAAAATTAATTTTTAAGTAATAAATATAAAATTTATTTCTAATTCATATTAATTTATTATAAATAAATATTTAATTTTTATATTAATTAAAAATTTTTAAAACAAACACAACAAAGAAATTCATCAAATCTTTATTAGCTTATTTTATCTTTATATTTATAACTATTATTATTAAATATTTTTTACCCAAATTTATCTCCTTTCACCCGAATGCCCATATTAGATAGATCTTTTATATATATATATATATATATATATATAATAAAACTCCATTAACAAATATCAAGAGATTACAAGTCTAATAATAGGAGAAAAAAGAACAGTTTAAAACCATTACCAATTCTGCCTCAGTAACCTACATGATCTATTATTATTGATCTTAAACCTAGATAAGTAACACGAGTAAATCTTGAAATCCGACAATACCTTAAGCTCTAATTCTAAATTGAAGTAAAAACTAGACCATTGTACGGGGTAAAACCCCCACAAATTACAATTTTAATCCAAGACAAGCCCAAGATGATTACCATCTCCTTAAAAACTAAAGTCCATCCTATTAAAAGCAAACCTACTTTAATAGGAAACAAAATAAAATTAAAAGTCTGACGATCAGTTTCCTAATTCTTCATCCGAAAATCTCTCCTCCAGTGGCCAAATATTCCTCCCAAAAAAACCTACCGGATCCTACTCTTGCATGCCGAAGAACTTGCGCCACCTCTTCACCGTCCGTTGCCACTGTGCCGCCACGCTCAACCGAGCCAACACCGCCACAGGACTTTCCCCCTCCACAACAACCTTTCGAGTCAGCAAAGGCAACACATCCAGCCTTTGAACCCTTCCAACATCATCTTCCCGACGACAATATTAAGACGTGCTCATAAACAAACATCCCATGGCTTCCCAACCTTGAGGGCTCGCGAGACCATCTCCCATCAGCACCGATTTCCCTGACTTTTCAAATCGCAGGACAACAAAGCCGGTGGCTTCAGTGGAGAGAATTAATCCATCACCGGCTCTCCCTTCTCACCAGTAACCCTCTCCTGCTTCATAACCTTCATTGAGGTATGAGAATAGCCACCTCTAAACAAGATACTAACGAAAAGAGTTGAGAACAAAAGTAAAGAAAATATGTAAGAACGAAGGAAATTATCGTTGCCGACCATATCCAAACACTCTCACGTTACGAGAAAAATTGTTTCGTTTAAAAGTTTACTTCAAATTAGACAAGTTTTAAGTCAAAACATACGTTGTGGGTTGCAGGTCTAGAAGAGGCCATCATTGAAGGCCCACGAAGGAGAGGTTTGTTGACAGGTGGCCAGGTGGACCAAGGGAAATGGGACACACGATACGGTGTGATGAATAAGAGTTATAAATACCCCTTTACTACCATTTTAATGATAATTAACTCAACTTAACATTCCCTCTATGGTAGATTATTGCTGACTTGAGGTTTGAGAATTTCCCCTAAGAACACTTCCTCGGCACTAGCCCGTATTCAAGTTAGAGCAAACCAAGACCCAAGTTGCAACCCAACCTGGATATTTTTTACATCAACATTTGGATTGTCTGTGGAAGCGACATAGGCATAACCTTACAACACTTAGGCTAGCAGGAAACAACCTCATAGGTAACCTTCAACCTATACTCGGCAACTTACAAGCACTCAAGATACTTGATGTTTCAGTCAATAACCTCACCAGCAAAATCCCTTCTACATTCGGGAACCTTTCCTCCCTTACTGTTCTTGCCCTTGCAAGAAACCAACTTCTTGGGGAAACTCCAGCTAAATTAAGTCGTTTACAAAACCTTCAATCCATTCAGCTCTCGAAGAATCATCTCTCTAGAGAGATTCTAGATTCTTTCCACAACATTTCTTCATTAATCTACTTATCTCTAACCCAAAACAACCTCACAGGAAACCTACCAAAGGAAATGGGCGAAGCTTTCCCAAATCTCACACAACTTTTTCTGACACAGAACAACTTCCAACGAACCATTCCAGTTTCTATAACATATTCTTCTATAATTGAATTCCTTGATCTGTCAAGAAACAAATTTCATGGGCCAATTCCAATGTTTGGCATCATGAAGAATCTCATCAGGTTGGACGTTGGCCAAAATAATCTCCTTTCTTCTACAGCAAGGAATCTTCAGTTGATTGATTCATTGGCAAACTGTACTCAGCTCGAGTATCTGATGATTTACACCAACCAGTTCTCTAGGGAATTTCCATCTTTAGTTGCAAATCTTTTAGCCAATCTCCAACATTTTGGCTTTTCAGACAATTTCTTGATTGGAAGCTTCCCTCAAGGTGTTGAAAAATTTCAGAACCTCATTTCAGTGTATATAGAGAGAAATCCTTAAACAGGTGAGATCCCGAGTATCATAGCAAAACTTAGATATCTGCAAAGTTTTGGAGCTTACCAGAACATGTTTTCTGGGAATATTTTGGATGTCTTTGGCAATTTTTCTCAACTTTCCAATCTCAAGGTAGGAATTAACCAATTTTCTGGGGAAAATCCCACCTAGTCTGTGGGAATGTCAAGTTGTCAAAAGCTCAAGACCTTGGACCTAGCTGAAAACAGGCTTACTGGAAGCATACCAACAGAAATATTCAAACTTTCCAATTTGACCAGCTTGTATCTGGGACAAAACCTTCTAGGTGGTTCTGTCCCTAGTGAAGTAGGTAACTTGAAAGAGCTTGAATACTTTGACGTTTCTGGTAATCATTTATCAGAAAATTTAACTTCATCCATTGGAGACTGTTCTTCTTTAAGGTTTCTTATCCTAGCAAGAAACAACCTTAGTGGTCAAATTCCAGGTTCATTTGGGAAGCTGACATCAATGGAGATTTTGGATCTTTCCTCTAACAAATTTTCTAGGAAAATCCTATTAGACTTGGAAAATCTTCAATATCTAAGGAAATTAAATCTATCTTTCAATTATTTGGAAGGAGAAGTTCCAATAGGAAAAATCTTCCCAAATCTTAGCTCATTTTCTCTCCAAGGAAACAATGAACTCTACAGCTCCAATCAAGAAATTGCAAGAACTTTTGGAGTTTCTCCATGTAAAACCAAAAGAACAATTAGAAAGAACATGCTCAAGATTCTAGCTTCAGCGGCAGGGGCTACCCTGGTTATCACTGTGATGTTATGCCTTTTTTGTGCATGGATATCCAGGAAGAAGAAAAACAAGGAGAACAAAAGCAACATAGCTTCTCCTTTGAAGGGTTTTCCTCCGATCATATCTTAATCTAATACACGCCATGCTACAAGCAACTTTTTAACTGAAAATTTGATTCGAAACGGAGGTTTTGGTTCTGTTTACAAAGCTGTGTTTGATAACACTACCTAGGCGGTGAAGGTACCTGACCTGCAAGCAAGCAGAGCTTTCAAAAGTTTTCTAACAGAATGTGAAGCTTGAGAAATATCAGACGTAGAAATGTTGTCAAGATCATTACCTCATGCTCAAGCATCGATCACAAGGGAGATGAATTCAAAGCACTAATTATGAAGTTCATGCCCAGTGGAAACATGGATAGGTGGCTGCATCTTGTGCTAGAAGATGTGGAATCAGGGTTATGCTTGACTCTGCTACAAAGGCTAAATATTGCCATATTGCTTCTGCAATGGATTATCTGCCCAATGACTGCAATCCACCAATAGTACATAGTGACCTGAAACCCGAAAACATTCTTTTGGATGAAGACTTGACTGCTCATGTTGGGGATTTTGGATTGGCAAGATTTATTTCTGAAAATCTATCACAAGGTAAAAGCAGCACAATTGGACTGAAAGGTTCAATTGGTTACATTGCTCCACGTAAACTAAACCACCACCCTTGCCTAATTCATTTTCTTATTCAAAAAATATTGTTGTTGGTTCATACTTCTAAATTTTCTTCTTCTTGTTTTTTTAACATAGTATGGTCTAGGAGGCAAAGCATCAAGGAGTGGAGATGTGTACAGATTTGGGATCCTTCTGCTTGAAATATTCATTGCAAAGAAACCAACAGATGCGATGTTCAAAGAAGGATTAAACCTCAATGAATTCGCATCTGCAATGACTCTTAACGGCCAAGCTTTGAACCACATTATTGATCCCAGGCTGTTCAAGAACATTAACGATGGAAGTCCAATGCAAAGCTTAAGCATTACTTCCTCTAGCAACAGTAGCAATCGTACCAACCACAGTTATAGCATGGAAAAATATGAAGAGTGTTTAGGAGCAGTAATAAGAGTTGGTTTGGCTTGTGCAGCTCAAAATGCAAGAGATCGTTTATCCATCACATAGGCCCTTGCAAAGTTACCACAGATTAAGAAATCTTTTCCCCGCTCTTGAAAATGGGCACACGGCAATGGTGTGTGTGCAATCGCAGTTGTCCAATCATGGTCATGGGTAGTTTGAACTACACTAATCTATATTTCTAGATATCAAGTTGTGATATCATGATGTAATGTTATTTTATATCTAGCGGAAGTTATATTAGGCTTAGTTTTTCTATTTTTATTTGGATTTGATTAGTTTTTTTGTTTCGTTTAAGATAAATTATTCGCATTAAATATGATTTTAAAAATGATTGCACGAAAATAATAAATGTAAAAAAGACACAAAACAACAAAAATTCGAACCCAAAATAGAATATAAATAACATATCGATTGAAAAATAAACAAAGTGGGACTTTGGCCCATTTACTCTAATGTTAATGGCGTAATGGAGTGGTATTTTACTATTTTTTCATTTTTTTATTTTTTTTCTTATAAAAGAGATCTCCTAATTGTGTTAGTAATTAAGTTGCATGTATATATAGAATACAATAATTACTATTTATTAATATAAGTTTTTAAAAATATATAGAATACAATAATTACTATTTATTAATAATGGTTTTTTTAATCAGCTATGTAACAAAAAGATAGTGTTTTCAAACATGCATTTTTCTAATTAATTCTCCATTTCATATACATATATGGTTGTGATTTTTAATTTTTATAAAATCTATAATTTTAAATAAAAAACTAATTTACAACCATACTATACAACAACAACGCCATACCCATCTTTTTTATTTTTTTTTATCATATATATATGGTTAGATGTCAATAGCATGCCACAAGATTAATTTGATTTTAAAGATGTATTTTACATTAGTCTGGTGCGTTTAAAAATTTTAATTTTTTTAAATGATGACCCCAATACTTAAAAAGTAAATTTTATTTATAAGATAATATTTATTTATTACTGAATTTTGAATTTAACTTTAAGAGTTTGCCCAAAATCAATATAAGGTCGCCCTTTTTAAAAAAAAATAATAATTAATCCAATAGCAATGAGATTTTTTTGGGTAAATCTAGAAGCTGGACCAAGGCCCAATTACTAAGGTAGGGCTTAGGTCTTTGCCATATGAGAAAGAGTTTTTACTCTTTGTTCCGTTTGATGGAGTCTGATGTTGGGTTTTAGCCTATAGAATCCTAGCCCATAGCTCGTCAAAATTTTTACCAACCAAAGGAAAATGATTTGTGCTAGCCATTAGCAGACCCAACATCCAGCAAGCAAGTTTTCTTTCGTTTTTAATTTTTTCTTTTGATATTCAGAATATGGAGACTGAGAATACACATGCATGTTATTATTTGGACCATGAACTCAGAGGCGGCGAGAACCCAAATCTTTTCTGTCCTGCCCTAATTCTCTTTCTTCCCTTCGATCTCTTTCCTATCCTCCTCCGCCGAGTGCTCATCATTGACAAAGTCTGCAAGACGCCTTGCTCCCACCAAACTCCATCCTTCTTCTCATTAAACCTAAAAAATATGGGATCTTCTTCAGATTTGTAAATTTAAATATGCGAGGGTGCAAGGAGATTTTTTTGGCTTACTGAAAGAAAAAAAAAATTAATTTTTCATATCTT